TTCAGAAGGATATTGATACCTTAGAGAGAGTTCAGAGAAGGGCTACTAAACTGGTTCATGGATTGCGGGATAAAACTTACCAGGAAAGGTTAAAGGATCTTAACATGTATAGCTTGGAGGAAAGAGACAGGGGGGATATGATAGAAACATTTAAATACATAAAGGGAATCAACACAGTAAAGGAGGAGACTATATTTAAAAGAAGAAAAACCACCACAACAAGAGGACATAGTCTTAAATTAGAGGGACAAAGGTTTAAAAATAATATCAGGAAGTACTACTTTACTGAGAGGGTAGTGGATGCATGGAATAGCCTTCCAGCTGAAGTGGTAGAGGTTAACACAGTAAAGGAGTTTAAGCATGCGTGGGATAGGCATAAGGCTATCCTAACTATAAGATAAGGCCAGGGACTAATGAAAGTATTTAGAGAATTGGGCAGACTAGATGGGCCGATTGGTTCTTATCTGCCGTCACATTCTATGTTTCTATATGTGCCTTTATTTTTCCCTTTTAGATATATTTTGATAACAGTTTTTTTTTATTTTGTTGCATAGCAATTGCATTGTTTATATGCAGAGGGAGTGTGAGATGGATTTCCAGATTTTCACGCCCACCAAATCAAACAGCAAGCAACAACAACAACAAAAATAAATGAAAAAATACAGTTTTATAGCATTACAAAATCAACACACTCCATTTCAAGCTGGCTTTGTAGCTTATAAAGTTTATAAAAATAACCTCTCTTTGATAAAGTAATGAAGGTTTAGTTAATAATAATAATAATAATAATATGGCTTTTTTGATAGGTCCTGCTCTATTATAACATATATTATTATTATTATTATTGTGCCAACTTGCCATAGTGTGTTATAGAGAGAACGAAGACTTCTTATCATATCCACACACAACACATGCCAGAACAGCAACAAGCAAACCTTGTTGGGGAAGAACCCAAGGCAGTAGCAGTTGCACTGCTGGAGAATGACACTAGGGGGAGTTAGAGAAACACTTGAGGAAATTAGACACTGCTTGGGACAAGGGTAGACATAGACTTCATTAATATAATATTTAATTGAGTTGCATTGGTAAACATTAAAGTAGGAGAAAGGAAGTGTATAAATCTTTGACAAGTAGGTGGGTTGTTTGGTAAAATGCTGGGTTGCTGCTAATTTATCCCCTGCCCGTTCCAATGATGTGAGAACGTCTCTGTAGCTGGATTTTGACTGTAGAAGTTGTCGACTAGTCCATGGCAGCGAAGTCCTGAATGAGCAAGTCCAGCCAAGTTCCGAAGTTTCTTTTTACGATGACAGCTGTGCTTTACAGAGGCCCCAAAAAGTCAACTAGTTAAAACCTAAATATAGCATCCAGTGTCACTGAATACAACAGTTTCTCCTTGTATAAAAACTGATTTATGTGCAGGCTAAAGAATATTTATATGGCAGTCACAGTTAATTAGGGTTAAACAAAAAAATCTAACGTCAAATAACTCAATAAAATAACTTGAAGTGAATGTATATAAGAAACCCATTGTTTACTCAGAATTTCTCTCACACATTTCCCCTGGGCCCATATGTTCAGCTATAGTACAGTAATTTAAATAAATGGCAACCTTGAAAGGCATGTTTGTGGTCATTGGCGACACAGGCTGTTGATGGGATCAAACGGAATGTTGGATTCAACGTCACATATTAGATCCCTTACTTGAATACCAGAGACTCAAACGATGTGTGATTGCACTAAGACTACACGACTACAAGAGTTAACTTTTCAAAATGTATGCTGATTTTTTGGGGAAAAAACTACTTAAAAGTAATAATATTGTACTTTTTAGCAGCTGTAATTCATCTCTGATTAGGAGTTGAGAAAGCTAGCTTTTATTTAAACTCATTGATGTTTTTTCTGCATGTCACTGAGCACGTCTGTTGTTTAAAGAATATTGAAGACTGTGTGTGCTGTTATGGGCTATATCATGCAAAACTGTTCCTGAATAGTTCTATTTAACATGGAGAATGTTTGAAGTATAAGCTTATTCTTTATGTCAATGCAGGCTCACTTTCCCAAGGAAGAGGAAATTAGTGATGTCCCGAACGGTTCGCGAACGGTTTGCCACGAATGGTTCGCCACGGACTCATCATTGAGTAAACTTTGACCCTGTACCTCACAGTCAGCAGACACATTCCAGCCAATCAGCAGCAGACCTTCGCGAACCATTAGGGACATCACTAAAGAGGATACATTTATTTAGGGAAATTGTGCAAACAAGCATTGTGCGTTGTTATTTTGCGAGATAATGTCTTTGATAGCGACCTTCGGGAATAATTGTAAGACTTTTTTTTGTTCTACAAGATGATTAGTCTTCACAGTTTATTTAATAAAAGCTTGTAAGTGTTCAGGGATTCAAGAATATTTAACTGATTTAAGAAAGCAGCAACATGTTGACTTTATTTGCCGAAGATATTAAAAATCAATATGGCAATTTGGAACACTCGCTATGTATAGAGAAGGTAGAAAGAATGTAGGAATTCCGAAAGGCTAGCCAAGAAATAATTACAAGAACAAAAAAGGATGTGTGTACATATACTCTCTTTGTTTAGGGAAGAATATATTAATTTGCTTGTTTTATAAATGTGAATTTTTGTAAAGTTTTTTATACCGTTAATGTTTTCATTTTCCATAGTAAGAAGTCTAATAAACATGCTTCTACAACAGTGTAAATAAGGAATGAAATTAAATAATTTAATAGGCTCTGTGTGTATTATTTTCTATATGTATTTTTGAGAAATAGACATAGGCAGAATAGCTAAAACCTAGATTACAAATCCCCTGTTGAGTAAGGTTATATTATATAATAGAGGTAGGCATCATGTGGATCTCCTGCTGTGTTTGAACTAGAACCTCTGAATTTAAACACTATAGTTTGGGCTATGCATAGATGACACAGTTCTTTAGGGAATGTTAGATTAATGATCCATGAAAACATGCAGTTATAAACCATCAGGGTTATTCATTGAACCAGGAGTAGTTAGGAATTCCCTAAGAAACTGCAAAATTGAGGGAAAAAATAGCTGTACTTTAAAAATTATCACACTATTTACATCCTTACCCCAAGGTCAACAGATACTCCCATTCCCTCTCATCCCCACTCATGACTCACTGTGGAGTGCAGTGAGCAACACCTGAGATAATAAAGTGTGCTGACCCAAATCACCCGCTCCCCGTGTTTGGATTTCTATAGCTCTTATCACAGAGAGCTTTCTAGGTTGCTGTGTGTTAACGGAAGATCCCATCTACTGAATTTTTTTAATGAAGCCAATTCCAGTCAGAATTCGGTAAACTGAATTGAAACTTAATGGAATGGTATGTTGCCCAATTTAGTCTACATTCTGTCCCTTTTGGGTATTGGTTAGTATATTTTAAGTGTTCAGTCTGGCTGGTTTATTTCATTATTATTTATTTGATTTAGTGGCTGTCCCCTAACCATAAAATAGCTCCTTTTTTTGGCACCAGAGACGAAAATCATAATTCAGTAAAAGCTGTTTGCCTATTGTCTGACGTCCATTAGGTCAACATAACCAAAACTATAAATTTTGAGAAATGTCTAATTTACCTATTTTGGTTTAAAATATTTGTTCTGTTTATAACTTGCTAAAGTTTTACTGTTTACTAAATAAACTTTTTTACTGAGATTATGAGAAAATATGAATATGAAGGAAAACGTGCATACTTCATGTGATATGTCCATATGACTATTCAGAGTTATGGTATTTGGAAGACACACCGATTGGCCAAAATTTGGGCTAATTTTAATTAATTTGATGCTGAATGCACAAGTTTATTGGTTTTATTTCACAAATAAAAGTTCAGAAATTAAACCTGTATTTCAAGTGTATTATCCTCTTCAAAAGAACCAATACACACCTTGACCAGTTCCACCAAAATAAAGATGTCTTTATACTGGACCAGAAGTTCATGCTAGCTATTATTAATTTAATTCAATTTAATTTATACGACGATTACATCTTCTGTCCATTTAAACAAGACCTTAGTGAAGGTTCCTGTATAAAATAGACATTTAAACGTCAAGTGGATAGGCAAATCAAACATGACAGTTCTGAGACGTTGACTGTCTCAAAGTAGGGGCAGAAAGACATCTGAAGCCTCCAGAGAATCAGACAAGAAAAATTGCCTTTCACCAGAAGAAAACATGGCAAGAAGATTTTCATATGAGACCTCCAGATTACCAGATGTTCATCTCAACAATTACCATAGGCATATTTTTTTTCTGACAGTTAATTAAAAGAAAAAATAAATACAAGAAATAAACTACAAAAGCCTACTCCCCCTCCCCCCCCCCGATCCCCCCAACCACAGAAAGACTTTGGGCAATGAAGCACATGTTGATATAGAATGGGAATTGCAACATAAGGTAAATGTTTCCTTCTTACATCTTGATCAGCAATATTTGTGTTTTGTTGCCTCCTCGCCATTACATGTTTTTCACATCCTACAGTTTACCTGTCTACTTGAATGCCGTCTCTCCTTAAAGTGTTCCCCAAATTCTGCAAGCACTAACACATCCTCTACCCATCCACGAAGCCACACGTACTGACTCCAAGCCAAGCCATTATCTTCTGTCTACATTTTGACACAACTTTACAAGTGTGTGAAGTCCTTCAAAATACCCCATCCACCATTTCGCAACCAAAATAGCATATGGGAATTCCCAGTAGTCTTTCTGACCATAAGCTTAGACTTCCTCCTGTTACATCTTGCCTCTATTCCCCATTATTACCTTTTAAATTATAACTCTATCAGCCATCTTTCAAAGCGCTTTGTTTAAAAGCAGCAGAAAGATTGCCTGCACATGTAAGACTGATTCTAAGACTATTGTATAAAATATTTGAAAAATCCCATCTTCTGGTTAATACAGCTCCTGACACCCATTCATTTTTATTCATCATTTCACCTGTACATCTTTTCCCCGTAAGGACTTTGCTAACATGCATACGTTCACAAGAGAGTCAGTTCAGTTCTGCGAGAGGACAAGAGAGTCCGTTCACTCCTGCAAGGGGACAAGAGGGTCAGTTCAGTCCTGCGAGGGCACAAGAGAGTCAGTTCAGTTCTGCAAGGGGACAAGAGAGTCAGTTCAGTCCTGCGAGGGCACAAGAGAGTCTCTTCAGTCCTGCGAGGACACAAGAGAGTCAGTTCAGTCCTGCGAGGGCACAAGAGAGTCAGTTCAGTCCTGCGAGGGGACAAGAGAGTCAGTTCAGTCCTTACGAGGGGACAAGAGAGTCAGTTCACTCCTGCGAGTGGGCAAGATAGTCAGTTCACTCCTGCGAGGGGGTAAGAGAGTCAGTTCAGTCCTGCGAGGGGGCAAGAGAGTCAGTTCAGTCCTGCAAGGGAACAAGACAGTCAGTTCAGTCCTGCGAGGGGACAAGAGAGTCAGTTCACTCCTGCGAGTGGGCAAGATAGTCAGTTCACTCCTGCGAGGGGGCAAGAGAGTGAGTTCAGTCCTGCGAGTGGGCAAGAGAGTCAGTTCAGTCCTGCAAGGGAACAAGAGAGTCAGTTCAGTCCTGCGAGGGGACAAGAGAGTCAGTTCAGTCCTGCGAGGGGACAAGATAGTCAGTTCACTCCTGCGAGGGGGCAAGAGAGTCAGTTCAGTCCTGCGAGGGCACAAGAGAGTCAGTTCAGTCCTGCTATGGCACACAGTGTTTCTCTTTCTCCTCTTTCTACATGGCCTCCTGGCTATCGATTATCATCATATCCAGGAAGATAGGTAATGCAAATTGTTTTGATGTCTCTATTTTGAATAACAAGTACAAAGGCTGTTGTTTTTTTCAATAATATAAAATTGATTGTAAACACAATGGTGTGAATTTCTACATTTAATTTTATTTTTATTTATTTTTCAGACCTCAAAAATACATTGGTATGCATATGTAAAAATAATATTAAAAATGCAGGTAAATGACTGGTTGGTTTTAACTTCTTTTTTTAAATGTTAATACCTTTTGGAAAATGCCTTATGCTTTTTAAGTAAACAACTCTCCAATTAACTTAATAATTCCCTTTATCTTTTACATTTTGCATGTGCTTTCAACTTCATTAACATAATAAGAAAACAGAAAAACAGAGAACTTATTGATTTAGGACTTTATAAATATAATGATCTTACTTAACCTTTCAACGCTGTCTTATTCGCAACTGCCCTGAGCAACCATGGTCAGTCTGGACTGAGTACTGACACCAATATCAGGTAATGGCAATGTGCAATCTGACGTTGCAGGAATATGAGAACTGCCTAAAATTCAGAATGTGCATGGAATGAGAACATTGGGAGGTGAGAGGCAGGCAAGAGTACATTAGGGGGTAGAGGTCAACATTCAAGCCTGGCCTCTTAGAGCAATGGCGGCTAGAGGAGATTTAAAGGAACACTCCAAGCACCATAACAACTACAGCCTCTCCTGGCACATTCTCAAGGCAAATAGTTAAACCATTAGCAATCAATATGACAACTTACCTGGAGCCAGCTAGGTGCTGGTGGCCTCGTTCTGTGTACCCTGGAAGCTCCCTTTGCCCTGAGCTATCCTGACTATGCAGACAGGCCCTCATTTGTCGAACATGCTCAGCTGACACTCTCAGCCAATAAGCTGGTTCTGCCCAGGGCTCAGCTCAGTGGGGCTAACATAAGCTCCTTGTAGGAGCTTCAAGCTCCACAGGAGACTTGTTTTCTCTTCTAAATTTACAAATGCAGAAATTCTTCCTTCAAAGTTAAGTAAAGACATTTTCCAGCATAATGATATTTTCTCACAATCACAGTAAATGGTTTATTTAGTAAATAGCAAACTACAGTGAGTTAAAAACCAGAACTGCAATTTCCAAAATTTTGCCTTTTCCCAACTTTGTTTTTTTAACCTAAAGTTTGCAGTTTTCTTTTGTTTAATCCATGTCAATTCACAGTTTAATAAATACATTCCTTTATGTCCTCTGCATTGCCTTGAAATATTGCACTTTATACTATACATTTGGTAAACCCTCAGGTGCAAACATTCTTTTGTATATATATATATATTTCCAGAATCCCAGAGAAACTACTAGACTGACTTAAAAAAAATAAAATATATATATATATATCTAAAAAACAAATAGTAGTAAAAAAGAGGCTTGGGTCATTTAATATGTTCATAAAAAGAATGCATTTTAGATTAATGGCTTTAAAACTCAGGTAGGAAAATAATTTTGACAACCAAACTATACGCTCTGTGATGACGCACGTAAGCAGTGCACGCTCTGAAAACGCGATGAAATAATAAAAAAATGTAAAAATAATTTAATGTTTTATGAGGAACAGATTTATCCCATTTAGCTATCACTTTGATACATGAATTTTTTCAAGATGACGAGGGTGATATCACGTTGGAAAGTGTATTTTTGCCCACAGCAACATTCGGGAGTACTTAATGTTCTGCAAATGCTTTAAAGTAAAGTATGGCACTGACATGAATGCCTTTGGATTACTGCAGATAAGAGACATATAATGTCAGTTTGATGTCAGCCGCTGGCTGAATCCTTAGATGCAATGTCTTGGATGTATCCATTCCATTATCATGAAAATATGCTTTCTACTGAACAAAAAAATCTGATAGCTTCTTCAGAATGATTAAACCATGATTTTAAAAGCCAAATTGTAACAAAATGCATCTGTGTATAGCAGGCTCCTCCAGTGTGTTTATTATACATATATTAATATGGTATATTAACCGGTAATTAGATAAGGAAAAAATATAGACTGGAAAAATACATAAACTCGTTTTAATGATGCAGTAAAATTATTAAACTGGTTTATTGAGCACTCTCTGCCCGATGATAATAAACCGAAACACAAAACCTGGTATATTATATTCCTAATATTCCATTGGTATATTTATTTTAAATATACTGTCTGGATTTTCATTTATTTAAAGGTTTAGTTACTAATTCAGTATTCCAAGAAGGGATGTTAAACTGCCATAGACATTGTAATATGTGTTTTAAATTCAATTTCCCATAACAGTTAAGTATCAAAAACATGATATAATTCACTAGCAGAGCTACCGGCAGTGGAGCAGGTGGAGCTGGTGCGCAGGCACTAGCTTGGGGGGCCCATTGGGTGTCCCTAATACACAAACACTCAATAGCCATCACTGATCAGGGGTTTAGTCGGTTGCCACAGACCTTTAGCAGTGCGACCGGGAACTCTGACAGATCGACAGTTCTGGGAGGAGTGAGTTCAGGTAACTTCCATCCCATGTAACAGAGCACTGTGTGGAAGGCAGAGAAGGAGGAGGCAGAGAAAGGATTGGGGAGAGAGCCTGGACCAGAAAATAACTCTCCTTCCCCAAAAAGTTAAAGATGCAGTTTTGTGGCTACATTATGTAAATCAAGACTTGTGTGTTTTTGTCAGTGTGTATCTGTGCGTGTGTCAGTGTGTCAGTGTATCTGTGTCAGAGTGTATGTGTATCTGTGTCAGTGTGTATGTGTATCTGTGTCAAAGTGTATGTGTATCTGTGTGTGTGTCAGAGTGTATGTGTATCTGCGTCAGTGTGTATGTGTATCTGTGTCAGAGTCTATGTGTATCAGTGCGTGTGTCAGAGTCTATGTGTATCTGTGTCAGAGTCTATGTGTATCTGTGTATATGTGTATCTGTGCGTGAGTCAGTGTGTATCTGTATCTGTGTCAATGTGTATGCGTATCTGTGTCAGAGTCTATGTGTATCAGTGCGTGTGTCAGAGTCTATGTGTATCTGTGTCAGAGTCTATGTGTATCTGTGTATATGTGTATCTGTGAGTGAGTCAGTGTGTATCTGTATCTTTGTCAATGTGTATGTGTATCTGTGTCAGTGTGTATGTGTATCTGTGTCAGAGTGTGTGTGTATCTGTGTGTTTCAGTGTGTATGTGTATCTGTGTCAGTGTGTATGTGTATCTGTGTCAGAGTCTATGTGTATCAGTGCATGTGTCAGAGTCTATGTGTATCTGTGTCAGAGTGTATGTGTATCTGTGTCAGAGTCTATGTGTATCAGTGCGTGTGTCAGAGTGGATGTGTATCTGTGTCAGAGTCTATGTCTATCTGTGTATATATGTATCTGTGTATATATGTATCTGTGCGTGAGTCAGTGTGTATCTATATCTGTGTCAATGTGTATGTGTATCTGTGTCAGTGTGTATGTGTATCTGTGTCAGTGTGTATGTGTATCTGTGTCAGAGTGTGTATGTATCTGTGTGTTTCGGTGTGTATGTATATCTGTGTAAGGAATGTGTGTGAGAGTCAGTCAGGACCAGATTAAGAGCCCAGTGGGCCTGGTGCTGACAATTATGATGGGCCTAATTACAGAATCATATGGACCAAAAACAGTAAAACACTCCCAAGCATCATGTATCTGATGGAGATGGTGCTGGAAAGAAAGAAAACAGCAGCTATAAGAAAACACATACCCTATGCTAATCTCTCACTAATTTATGTTTTCATCTTTCAAGTAAATCCATAACCCCTAACAGCAGTGTCCAGTCAAGCAGGAAGTCAATGGGCATGGTAAAAGGGTGTGCCACTGACACAAATCACATAACCTGCCAAAAGAGGCGAACATGCCCAAAAAGAGGACATGTCTGCTCAAAGAATTAGAAGGCCAGCCTGGCATGAATGCATGTCAGGCTGCCTGCCAATCATGCAGCTGGCCAACTAAGGGCATACTATGCACACAGCACCCTGAGCTTGGCATAAATGCATCTAATGATGCGCTCACTCAGTGCTTTCTAAGGACTGTCCCCTAGCACTCGTTGGTCCACTTACCTTCTTACTAGCAGGCAGAAGCTCCTGGTATATGGTCTGGGACAGAGAAAAGCTGTATGTAGTGAGTGTAGAAGAAAGGGAACATGCCACAGTGTTAGAGAGACCAAAGTCAGCATTACCTTAAAGGATCACTATAGGGTCAGGAACACAAACATGAATTAATGACCCTATAGTGTTAACACCACCATCTAGCCCCCTGGGCCCCTCATGCCTCCATAAATATAGCAAAATCTTACTATATTCAAGCCCAAAGCTGTAACTCTGCATGCTGTTAGACTCATAAAAACAAGCAGTCTGCTGACACCATTAGAAGTGGTGGCCTGATCCAATCACAGTGCTTCCCCATAGGATTGGCTGAGACTGACAAAGAGGCAGATCAGGGTCAGAGCCAGCATGATTCAAACGATGCTGGCCAATCAGCATCTCCTTATATAGATGAATTTAATTAATGAATCTCTATGAGGAAAGTTCAGTGTCTGCATGCAGAGGGAGGAGACACTGAATGTTTGGATGCATTTTAGGCAGCCATGACCCAGGAAGGATCTCTAACAGTCATCTAAGGAGTGGCCAGTGAAGTTATCACTAGGATGTAATGTAAAGACTGCATTTTCTCTGTGTTTACAGCAAAAAGCCTGACGGTAATGATTCTACTCACCAGAACAAATTCAATAAGCTGTAGTTGTTCTGGTGACTATAGTGTCCCTTTAACTATATTCATTGTCAGCCAGTCCACACACGTTTGTTCCCATACATCCCACTTAAGTTTCCATACTTAAGTAAGAGTATGTGAAAAGTAGTTAGGTTTGCCACCTTTCTTGGAAAAAAAGGAGTGACATAAGAGAAAATGCTGTAAAATCACCAAAAAACTACTTAGTTTGATTCTGCTGTATAGATGGATTCCTCCCAGTGCTCCTATGTCTCCCAGTGTCCTCATGACTCAGTGCCCCCATGTGT